GTGAAACGGGAGCCTGCGGTTGCGTCCCTGCGGTGGGAATCCCCTCGATGAGCGGTCTGTTGTTGCTCTCGTTTTGTTTAGGGGGGTGTCTTTTACCTGAGGTGCAAACTTCTGCTGTCGGGCAGAGCTGCGTGCTGCCTGCGGAGCCATGGCTCCGTCGGGGGCTTCCCCGGGCCGGTGCGAGGTGCCCGGGGGAGCGCGGTGTCCCTGCGCGTCCCGCAGCCGCCGGAGCCGGCGGGGCGATGTGAGGGAAATCCCGCTCTGTAAAGCCGCTCTGGGAGCATCCAGGCCCTCCTCTGAGCACAGGGGCTGCCACGGCTCCAGAAAATGGGGCTGGACACGGGCAGCACAGCCTTCTCGGTGGCGTGCGGGGTGCGATGGCCCGGGCGGGAGGCTGTTACGGATCCGGGCGAGGCGTTGCTCCGCCGTGCAGTTGGCATTACAGGTGGTGCCTGCGTGGTACCGCGCCAAACCTCACCACCTACTCCCTGTGGGGCTGCTTTCAGTATATATGCCTGGTTCCTATTTTAAAATGTGAGTGGAATACTTGAATTCCCTGCTTTTTAAAGGTCCTTTTGCAGCTTTTTGGTAGCTAGGGAGTGTCGGCTCCTGCAGGTGGGTGGCTGCGCGCTCGGAGTGTGTGTACACAGACGGATAGGTTTTGATAGCTGCGTTACGGAGCTGCCTGAAGAGCTCGGGTGCTGTTGTGTTAGGTTAAATACGCAGCAGAGAATGCCTGCCCTGAAAAGCTTGTGATCAAGTATGAAAAGGAAGAGATAACAGGCAAACGTGACAGGCAGGGGAGGTGAAATGAGATCATCGCCAGCAGTAGCTGCTTTTAATAATGATGTGTTGAGTTACATTTCTTGCGTTTGGTGTCGCGCAGGCCAGAAATGCAAGAGTTGCTTCAGCAAGGATCTGCTGCAGTGCAGGAGAGGAAGGGGAGAAGCGGGGTGCCTAGGGCTGGGACTGCAAGGTGTTGTCTGCTGGTGCAAATCCCAAATCCTTTGCTCTGTAGGACTGTAGCAATACCTCAGCTTACGAACAGCTGAGATCTAGAGGGAGAGTTTAGATGTAAGTCCTGGTCAGGGAGTACCTCCCCTATCCCTTCCTATCCTTACATCCCCTTCCCATATAATTTCTGACTTTTCTTAATGCTCCCTTCAGAGTAGCTGCAGGAGCAGCATCTCATCTCTCTCCGTCCTGCAGGGCCTCGGTCTCCTGGTGAGTGCAGAGGTAGTGCTGGAAATACTTTGCAATGAAATGTTTGTGTGGAGAGTTGCAGGGAGGGGAAAGAGCTGCTCTTATCACTGTGAAAATGGCAAATCGTTGTTTGTAATCAAAGAAATGTCTTCCCTTGCTTCTGTGGAAGTCAGTGAAATGTTTGCTTTGATCCCTAGGTAACTTTCTTGGAGTGTATTTTACAGGGAGAGGTGATGGTGGGGTGGGCAGCTGGGGTGCTCCCGACGGGTCCCTGCAGGCTGTGCTGTGAGCGTTGAGGGGCTGCTAGGGCCTCCGTGCTGCAATGTGGTCGGTCCTTCCCCAGAAACCGGTGGCATCCTCCACCCTGGCCTGGGCTGTGATTGCAGCGGGTGCCTTTGCCCAGGCATCTTCCTTTCCCAGCAGGGTTCAGGTCGCTGGAGTTGCTCAGTTGTGCTCTTGCCCCCCTGGGAGCCCCAGCTGCATCCCTGATCTTCAGGAGGAGTAAGGAGCCCTTTGCCTCTCTGCAAGAGCCTGTGGGTAGCTGGATCAATATCTCCTAAGAGGGCTGGTGTTTCAAGTGAACGCTTCCGGCTTGTTACGATGATAAAGTTGCCACATATCAAATCGAAAGTGGATTTTACATTTGCCTAAGTACATAAACTTGATCATAATTAAAGCAATGACTGCTTGCTTATACCTTGGATCTGGCCCATCTTGCATGACTCTGTGTAGTAATTACACTTCAGAGCACTCGCTTCTCCGAGTAGCAGCTGCATAAATCTCTGTAATAGGGGAACATCACTCAAGGACTATTTTCCAGGCTTCTGTTTATTGCTTTTCTCCCTTTCATACATCTGTCAATTAAAAAAAGTTTTGGAGTTCCCAGCCACAAATCACCATGGAATCAATTCTGAGAACCTTTGCCTATAGATCATATCACCCTGGAGAAACCAAGGGTTTAAACAACTTATTTAAAACGCATTTTCTTTTTTTTTTTGACACAAACAGAAAACAGTGACTTCTGGAAGCCACATTTTGCATTATGAGCAGTTGTGGCTGAAGGCATAAGTAGAGGAAACGCTGCTGAGTTGCAACACGCGCAGGAGAAATGTCCCACGGCTCTGTTTTACTGGATCGGTGGTGCGTGGGCTGGGGGGACATCGGCACAGCGCTCCCCGTAGAGGAGCCCAGCCACACCAGGCTGATACTTCTAATTAAAAAAAAAAAAAAAGGCAATTCTGATAAATGTGAGGGAAGTGTCATGCTGTTTCATGAGCAGTATTAATGTTCTGGGAGTAATTCTAGCTGAAGGCGTGCATCAGGCAGCGAGCAGAAACTTGGTCTCCTCCAGTCCTGCAGCCTAGGGACCAGGTTTTTGCAGCTCGGGAGCATGCTTTGGCATGCTCGGAGGTGGGGAGCAGCATGACCTAACTGCTGTCAGCTGCGGGTGACTGTTCGGAGGGGTGGGAGGATGTAATTCATGCCAGCAGCTCCACTCGAGCTAGATGAGAGGCCTGGTGGTGGGAGAGTGATTTTCCTAGGCTTTTCTGAAGTTGAGACTTAATGCCAGCTCGTGAGCCAGCCTGCGGTTCTGCGCTGGGGTAACTTCCTCAGCTGCTCACACTCATTGATAACTAAATTCTCTTTTTCTTTCAATGCCTGTCTTGGTTTTCTTCTTCCTTTTGTCTTTTCCCTGCATAATTTCTCATGTATAAACAGTAACTTGAATTTCCATTTTTTCCTGATCTGTTTTTCTCTCCTCTTTGCCGTTCGGATTTCTTTGTGGTCGTGGTGATGCTCCAGATAATTGGGCTGGTGCATGTGGGTAGAGGGGAAGGGGCGAGTCGTCGCCTTGCCGAGATGGGGAGAGGGGATGGATGTCTCTCCCCCAGTCGCGTGGAAGCTGAGGAATATTTTTCTCGGCAGAAATATCTGCCGTTGGGTCTGTCTTCCTTCTCCCACAGCGGAGTGCAGTTTCCAGCTTTTTGTTCATTCTCTTTGATGGAAGCAAATATGGATTCACCCTAAGAAAATAGAGGAGTTTAACCTTTTGCTTTTGGAGTTGAGGTGTAAAGCTTTACAACTGGCTGGCTGAGTGTGTCAAGCTTTCTTCTCTCTTTTCTTTTCTTCTTTTTGGCAGCTGGTGTGTGCCAAAATACAATTTGAAAACTAAAAATCCCAATTCTTCCCGCTGGACTCGATGCACCTTTGCTTGTGAGCTGGCTCCCTTTGTACCCCTGCTCTTTCACTCTGTTTTTCCTGAGTGGGGCTAATGATGCTCCTCCCTATGCAGCCTTTCCGTTTAGCTTAGCGTGGTGGTTCAAGATCTTAGTTTACTAGATAATTGAGTTTGCTGTTCTTAATTATTTCAGGCCTGCAAGTTGCTCTCTTGATAGTTAAGAGAGCGGGAGCAGAACCCTAAAATTTAGTAACCTCCCCAGGCAGTGGTTTTATAGTGAGATCGTTAATTTTATTTTTTTTTCCCCCGGGGGTTAATTTTAACAACATCCTGAAGAGCGTTCTTCCCAGTCTTTGGAGTGGCTGTAGGGTGTGTGCATGTGTCTGTAAGAAATGTGTATGGTGAGTGGGTGCCCACAAATTAACTCCATATTTTTGATGACAATATTGTTGATATATTTGCACATTTGTTAGGCGGAAACTCTTACTCGGTAAAACCTCTCTATTTTCTCCATAACTACTTCTTTTAAAAGATGCAGTGTTACAGAGCGTTACATTTGCGTGGCAATCATCGGGCCAACATTGCAAGACTTGGGGAGGAATCCAGAGTCAGATGGCCTTGTGATACACAAGATGGAACAGAAAATAAAGCATAATTAAGCAGTAATAAATATCCCGTTTAGTACCCATACTGTTCCAACTTTAATCACCTGTTGAACAAGGTTGGTTTATAATTTATATCTCTTTAATTAGGTTTTAAAAAGATGAGCACTTAACCTGGGTTTAGAACACCAGCATTTCCTTTTCGCCCCAAAATGCTGAACGTTAAAAGCCAGCGACAGATGCATGACCCCCTAGCCACATAATTTAAAAGAAGGTTTTTAATAAAAAAAAAAGTATAGAAATAGCTGGGGGAAAATCTGCTACATTTAAAGGTTGAATCACTGCTTTTATCTGTTTAAAGCATGATGCTGACTGTGAAACAATTAGAGAAAGAAAATTAACACAAACCAGCGGCTTTCTTATGTGTAATATTAACAAACCGATGAGCTAAGAGGCTGGGACAAAGCCCTCCGGTGTTTCCAGACCACAGGAGGTGAAGGGTGCCGTTGCGCGGGGTAGCAGAGCCCTCCTGTCGCATGGGGAGAGGCTGCAGTAATGTAACATTAAGCACGGCCGGGTTCTCATTTTGGCAATGCCTGGGGTAAATTTGGGGGGAATGTTAATCTGATTTAAGCTGCGGTTGGGTCTGGGTGGGCAGGCTTGCGTGCCCCAGTGGAAAGCATGGCTTGTCTGCCTGTATCTGATGACAGGGTTAGAGCTATCCTGGGATGCTTAAAATCAAAATACAATCCTTCAGCCTCACAAAGGAGTTCACATCTGCCTGCAGATGATCTCAAGGGTTTTTTTTTGACATTTAATCCACTGAAATTATTTTCACTTCTGCTACACTAACCACCTATCTGTGGGAATAATCGTACATCAAAGTCAAATGTAATGCTTTAAATTCACTGCTACCCAGTCTTCAGTAAAAATTCCCCATGTCAGAAGAGGGAGGAAGAGTCAAGGTGCTGCTGAAATTACTGCAGCTGTAGAGATTAGTTCAGTCAGCTAGGAGCGTATGCAAAAATTACTGGAGCATTTACACTGCTGTTCCCCAAGATGGCATAAATGGCACAGCGCTCTGACGGTGCCGGGCCTCCGCGCGCCTGTGGAAGGGGCCGCATTCAGCTCCCTCTCGCCCATGGGAGTTGGGTGTTGGTGGGTCAGGCTCCCGTGCTTAGCATCGCATCAGTATCACTAACGTTGCAAAGATTGGTATGTGAGCATCCAAATGCAATTTAATAAAACTGTTGGAGTAATTCGTGGGACGCTTTCTTTCCAAAAATGAATTTGTAATGATTTATAGCAATAGGAGGAGGTTTTTGCAAGGGCTGAGACTGGCGTTACGAGCTGTAATAGCTTGAAACTTTAAGAAAAAGGGGGGGTGTGTAGGTTGGGAGATAAAAACAGTCTTAACAGTAAGGGCCATTAGGCAGCGGAATGGGCTTTGCTATCTTGAAAGTCAGAGCTATCACTGGAGGTGTTTGTGTTAGATAAAATGCTCAGAGGGGGTGGGTTGGGAGGCAGGGGGTAGGATTTGATGACTCACAGGACCTTTTACATGGAGCCAAAAACGTGCAGCAGTTTAATTCATGCTAGTGTCTGATCGGTAGGCTTGCGGTGTGTTTCCAGGCGTTCGTGTCTCTGCATCCACCACGCTTCTGGAGCACGCGTGGTTTGCACAGCTCCTAGCACTTGGGGTGCAGGGTCTGGGTCTCCTGGGTGGTGCTGCAGCATGAGTGCAGAAGAGGATCCTCCAAGCAATGGCATGAATAAACCCCAAACATACTTGCAGGTCAAAAAACGCTTTCCCTGTTTCATTGGTGTCTGCTGGGGCTGGGGTCAGTGGGATGGGTTAGGGGCTCCTGGGGGACTGGGATCTTGGGCATCAAAACCTCCTTTCCTTACTATTGGGACTTACAGATGGGACTGTTTGGGTCTGCTCGCCATCTGGGAAAGCCATATACAGAAAATAGCTGGCAGATGGGAGTCAAGCCCCCGTTCCCTGGCCCTCTGTAGCAATGCTCTGCACCGAGAAGGACCTTGTCCCTGGTAGCTGATAAGAGCATGTCCTGCCTGTGTTGACCTGTTGAATTTACCATGACGTTTCTGGTCATTGGTGTTAGTTGGCTATCTCTGTAAAACGTTTTAAGCTGTCAGAGTTAATTCCCAGGCTTTTTCCTCCTCCTCTGTGATTGCTCTGCTACAGTAAGTGTCTGTCTTTACTTACTTCACAAAAATAAAAAACCATTTAAGGGGAGAAATTGGCTTAATTGCTAAAAAGAAGGATGGGAGGTGGGTAGATGACCTTGCTGCTTCCTATCCCTGCCTTTCACTTGCACAGATCTCTTAATTGCCAACTCTCAGATTTTCTATATTGGTATTTCCATTAATCGTGAAAGGCTTCTTCTTTTTTTAATTTGAAATGTGTCCTAATATAATAAATGTAGGAGGAAATAAGCTTTGTATTAACAAGAAATTTATGGCTGTACTGTAGTGTTAAAGGGACCACGCTAAGCCTTTTTGCAGTGTAAATTGACTTGGATTTGACTTTAAAAAACCTCTTTAACTTGCTGTTATATAACCGCTTCTCTCATTAACGCAGTGTCTTGCTGGTACGTGGTTTTATGGTCCCTATTATTTTTTTAAGGCATGAAATACCTGTTGCTGTGCTCCTCTGGAGTGGGTTAGTTCACGAACCGCTGAGACTCGATCTTTAGATGTCAGTGGTGCTGGCTCTTTGTTGGAGGGCTTGACGAAGGAATTTATGCTGCGTACCCTGTTTTGCAGAAGGGGAAACTGAGGCAGCGGGTAGGGATGGAGCCAGGATGGCGTGGTGGCTCCAGCACTGGGCTGTGCCTCCTTCTCCCCCTTTGCCATATGTTGTTTTGCAGTGATAGCAGGGCTTGCATTGGTTAAAGCTCCTTTCCGCACGTGAAATGCACGTTGCCGATGAAGTGTTTCACAGTGTTTTTCCCTGGCTGTGCCAGGGGAAGGGATGGGGCTGGAGGGAGGAGGGTTTCTGCTGTCGCTGCTCCCAAGCTCTGACACTTGTTTTTCCCTCGGCAGTGTGCATGACTCTTCTTCAGGAGGTACACAATTGAACTGACATTAATATTAATCCTGTTCTTCTAGAGTACACTTACAAAAGTGACTTTTGACACTTTCTAGTAATTAGCGAGAGAGTGGATGTGGTAAAAGACTCTTAAGAAGGAGATGAGAGGGGAACCTGGAAGGATGCGTAATCCTTGCAGAGCGAAGGTGTAAATTGCCATACTTGCTTTTATTGAGGGGAAAAAACCTCTGTAGCAAACGGGAAGGCAGAGCAAGGGCTGAGGGGTGCGTGGAGCCTTCAGCCCTATCTGGGCTGTTGGTTGCTGGCTTGGGGACTGTTTCCTAATCCCGATTCATTCTGGGCAGTGATGAGTCTAATGGGGAGCTGCTCCTGCTCAGTCACGCCGGGGGCATGCTGCTGTTTGGGTGGCAGACAATGAAAGGTCTGAAGGTTCTTGCTGCTGTCTGGCCCTGGATAGCCATTTTTAGTGGAGCTGTTGCTTACTCTTTTGAGTTTCTACCAGCAGCATTGGATTAGATGCATTTTGCATGATGAGGGCTGTTGCTTTGATATGAGCTTGTTGCTCCGTTTGTGTTTGCAGGGCCGCGGTTTGCTACTGAAAGTTGATTGAGAATGAGACTCTTCTTGTTGTTGCCACTTCCAGCTCTTCCGTTCCATCTTCTCTTGTTGTCTGAACCCAAAAGATGAATATTTTATTTTCTAGATTTTATTTATCACCTTTTAGCTAATGCCACTTTTTGTAAAATGAAAGCTAAGCTTGTCTTCTGCCTCCAGGAGTGAGAGCTTTGGGAACACTTTGGGAATGTCAAAACCAAAAATTTAGTATCACTGACCAGTGCTTTGAGTTGCAGCTTGAGATGCCCGAGCAAGGGATGCTCCTCTTGCCTTTGTACCCTGGCTTTTGTACCGTTCTGGTGAATGGGTGGAGGTGCTTCCTGTGCACCCATGCAGTTGCATGTCTGCTGCTGCAAAGGCACTTGCCTTTTGCAGTGCTCAGTGCATGCCTCAGGACCTGTCCCTCTGCAGTGGGACTTGCACAAGTGAAATGATGGACCTTGGGCTTTGCCTGGTGCAATGGAGGAAGGATGGGATGGTGAAATTGGTGGGAGGACTCAGGAGATATGTACAATTTAGAAGTCTGCACTAAAAAAAAAAGTAAATCGTTATTGTTGTGCCCTCCTGTTGTTACTGTTATTGCTGTGGATACAAAAGGATGGAGATTGCAGGCAAATAATGCAGTTGTTGTTTGTTTTAAGTCTTTATGCAAATTACAAGCATATCCTGCGTGCTGAGCTACGTGCATTGCTCTATACGTTGTCAATCCACAGCTTCTAAATCCCGGCTCCTTTTTGCATCTCCCGTTCCATCTCTTCTGGCTGCCTGCAGCTCCTTACTGATGTGCTGGTAGGCATGGGGGAGACAGCGGGGCGATGCTCTGTGTCGCTCTGCTCGGCACCAGCACATCAGTGGATGGAGTGTGTGGGAGCTAAAGCAAGCAGTGTGCTGGCACACACGCATAGCAAGCTCTTGGGGGCTATTGCTCAGCAATCCTGGTTCTGCCTTATCGGTCTTATTCCTGAGCTGCTTGCTCAGGACAAATTCCAGAAATGCCATCAATTTGCCCAACCAGTAATTGCAGCGATACCAATGTATGGAGTTGGTTTCACCTCCATTTTCCATCTCCATCAATTCCACCTCCTAATGCAAATTTTCTGCCCTTTCTCTCTAGGGTCCGATCTCCAAGTATGTATCCCGAAGGGCTCCACGTGCTGCTCGAGGAAGATGGAGGAGAAGTACCAGGCAACAGCCCGCCTGAACATGGAGCAGCTCCTGCAGTCTGCCAGCATGGAGCTGAAGTTCCTCGTCATCCAGAACGCTGCCGTCTTCCAAGGTGAGCGCTGGGGGGTGATCCAGGCATGTGGTGGGAGGAGGAGGCACTTCTGCTCTTCTTCCTCAGCACCTGGCAATCAGAAGTGCAGGTGGCTGGAAGCTTTCTGTTCACTTGTTCTCATATGTTTGTATATATTATATATGCTTATTTACGATAAATTATACACCTGGTTTGGTATATGGCTGCTCTGCAAGGCTTGTCCTAAATATTCCTGTAGCTGAAACAGCAAGTGTAAATTTAAAGATGAAACCTGTTCAAGTGCAAATTTAAAAATAAGTGAAAAACCCACTTCTCCAAGAATTAAACTGTCTGTGCAAGTACCATCTTCTGTGATTCTGCCAGTCCCAAAAACCGTGTTGCAGCAATGTGATCTGGTTGCAAACCCAGTGTAATGGTTGGCAAACATCTGACTAAAACGTGTGTGTTGATTATTGTTATCCACTGCAAAACAAAGTTGGTTATTCCTTGTGAAGATGGGTAGAGGCTGCCTTGTCCACAAGTGTGGTCCCTGGTGCTCGCCATGGGTTATTTGAGTGCTTGGAAACCTGATGCCATGCTATATGGTGGCAGCTCTCTTCCTTTTCTAATGATAACGTGATATATTGTCTTTTTAGGAAAACTGGCCTTTGACACATATTTTCTACTGTGGATACACACCAGTTTGTGTCACTTAAATCTGCAAACATTTTTTAGGGCCTTTACACAAGCAAAACTTATTCCATCCATGGTTAACGTGCAGTGAAATGATTGCTTGTTTGTTGAGTGCTCTGCTGTGGAGATTCCATCGTTCTGTATTAATGGCATTTTTGCCTATATTTAAAAGAGAAGGCATGAGCAATCAAGCGTTTTTTCCTTCATGCTGATATTTTTGCAGAATAATTGATTTATTTTTGTTCATGCTCCACTAACAGCAAGACCTAAAGCCTGCTGAAGCCTGTGGGATCATGGCAAAGCTCAGTTCTGGTCCACAACTGACTGAAGAAGTCTAATGTGTTGTTTTTATCAACGTAAGATTGAATAAATTGTTGAGGAAGTAACAGCACATTTTTTTTCCCCAATGCTTCTTAATGCAGTGACCATTAAGTTCCAATTCTGCTAAACAGAATGGGGTAAAACTAATGAGAGATTGCCAACGCCTAGGAAACCAATGTGGACTAGCTTCAGAAATGGTGAATAACCTGGCCGGAATAGAAGGTGTCTCCCTCCTCCCCTACCATTTGGCAAAAACATTGTAACATGGGAGTTTTTATTGTGTGTCGGAATGGTGCCCTGTGTTACTACAGGTTGTGTAGTATAGGTTGTGTAGCAGGGTCGGATGCTCTAGCTCTGAACTTTCTGTGTCTTCTGGAGGGAGTTGAATCCTTTGCTCTGATTTTTTTTTTTTTGTTGTCGTCCCCCCCCCCTTTTTTTTAAACTGTGATTTCCATCCTGGCCATGAGAGCCCTTTCCCCGTGCAGGGGTTTTGGAGCTGATGTTACTGAATGCTGAATTGCCATTCTTCTTGGTGGTGGGGAAGAAAAGCATTTAGTTGAAGAATTCCTGACCACTTCTGCTTATAAAAAAAGATCATGACTAATTTTAAAGATTTTTTTGCAATCGCATTGTAGAAGAGGAGTTCCTAGCTGAAACCATTTTGGAGCTTACTTTTATTACCTCGTATAAAGTGTTTTGGACTTGGAAGGGCAATTCATTACACTTTGAAAATCGTGTACTTTTGTTATCTTTAAATTTTGTCTCAAAAGTCTGTAGAACAACACTTTTTTTAATAGGCGGATCTTTTGATTGCTGCTTGATTAAGAGCATTTTGATGGCCGCAGTGCCAGAGGCTGTTCCAGCTATAGAAATTGTGCTTGGACCCAATATACGGTGGTCTGATTTCTTGTTTCTTGGCACTGCTTATGGTAGGGGACAGGCTTCTGTCTCAAGACGTCACTAAGGGATCTGGCGCCGGGGCGTGATGTCTCAAATCAAACCCCACCAGTGTGCAGTTTGCTTCTTCCCCCATTGCCAAGGTATGTGCTATGACAGCTGGTTGCAAGTCAGAAAACTTGCTGCTGCCCTGGCACAGCTGGGGAGTGTAGGATGCCTCTCAGGGGTGTGCCTGGGGCTGTGCAGGCTGCCTTCAGCTACAGGGGGGGGATGCTGGAGCCGTCAGGGAAGAGGCACTCACAACCGCTGTTGGAGCCCCCATGGTCCCTGAGCATCTCCTGCAGGTCCTGCTCCCGCATGGTGTCTCTGCTCGACGCTGGGGACAGATGCCCTGTGGCTTCAGGAATTGGGACCGTAGGAGTGGGATAGCTCAAAGCAACGCCAGCTCTCACACGCGTGCTCTGGCAAGGGAGAAAGCTCTCTGTGTGTGTCCCGTGTTGGGTCGGACCCTAGCGTCTGCTGGGGCATCCTGCACAGAGGATGGGTAATTGCGCTGCTCTCTAGAGCAGGGTAATATGTTGGTAAGGAAACATATCCTAACCACTCATATTAAAAACACAAGTGTGAAACCCTTCAGAGTTAATATTTTTAGCCTGGCATCTAAAGGGACTGCTAGTCTGACAGACAAAATCTTACCCAGATGTTATTATTTTGCACCAAATTTAATTTCTTCCTGCTG